GCTATGGAAGAGGTGTAAACTCAATACACAGCCCTTCCAATGTGACTGAACATTGCACTGAAGAGGACAGGATCCCCTCTTAGGGTTGGAAGACAATTTAGTCTCCACTACTATTCATTTCCATGTAACTGTGTAGGATTCAGAAACAGTCAGGCCTGGTCTACATTACGAATTTAGGTCAAATTTAGCCAGATAAGTTTGATTTTCTAAATGATGCATCCACGCTACCAAGCCTCTAGCATCAACCTTAAGGGCTGCTGAAGTTGATTTTAGTACTCCTGCTTTTCATGAGGAGTATTGCTATTCCTGATCTGCTGCCCACAGTGCCTCGCTCTCTGAGTCAACAGTAGGCTCTCTAATGGAGATGTGCTGCTTTGGACTACATTTGATTCTTCCTTGCAGTGAGGACATGGATCTTTGACTCTGCAAAATCAGGCAGGAAGAAATCAACCATATTAGTTTCAACCTTATCTCATAGTATTGGCATGCCCTCCGTGAGAGTCCATATGCTGTACTGGTACTTATCGTGACCCTCATCTTTTCAGTAAAAGCAAAAACTTTTTGTAAGGTGAAGAAAACCTAAAAAATGTGACCCAAAGGTAACCAGAACAGTAGTGTCTGTATGAATCTGCAAAATAACTAGAAAAATCACTCTGAGACGTATTCATCTCAGTAGGGTGTTAGCTTGGATGTCTAGTGCTGAGAAGCACATTGACTTTTAAATGATTAACTATTTAAATTTTTAATTAAGAAAGAAAAGGGAGGATCACAGAGTTGCACAATTTACTGTGAAACCCTGTACTTTTTTTCTCCTAATCAGGAAGGGAAGCCCAAAGAAAACAAGTCAGTCCATGGACATATTCCACTGAAGAGCAAGTGGAGAAGTAAGCATAGCTCAGATAGCACATAATTGTATTTTCAATTTCTGAATAGCCTACAGTGAATGGTCTCTCATTTGGATTTCTCACCTCTGGTTTTATATTTATTGGTGGAGCTGGGAAGAGTACCACTACTGTTTTTCCTTCTAGTCTAACACCTAAATCCATAGTACTTTTAAGGTTCCTTTCACTTAGTATTATTTTTAAATACAGGACAAAATTTTGAGCAATGCAAGTCCAGAGTAATTTGTTTCCTCTTTCCAGGATCCCAGGGGACAACTGACATGGTAAAACCATTAAATCTCTAAAACCTTGTTTAAACTGGGGCTTCTAATAATGTTACGATTGGTCCAGCTAAATGGATGGTTTGAACAAGATTATTTGTTTTGCTTCATTGCTGAAATTCTCAGCTTAGAAGGTTTTTTAAAATAAGGTGGCAGTCAGGTCCCACTCATTTAAAGGATTTGTAGTTTAGGACCAAGACCTTGAAATTTGCTCTGAAGTAAAGTGAGGATACATTTGCACTTTAATGCAGAGATGATGTGTTTATGTCAGTATTTGCTGGTATCAGGCATGCCACTGAGTGCTGCATCAATCCTCTTTTAGGAACTTTGGTTAAGCGATGGTTGGGGCAAGGCACAGTACTCCAAAATGAATATTAAAAAAATTATCAATTGCTATCACTAGAAGCTAGGGAGAACAGTTCCATGGCTATTTGAAGACATCAGAAGACTCACCTCACCATAGCAGTAATGTGTATCCAGGAGCATGATGAGTCCTGCATGCATCTGCGACTCTGGAGCACTTTGAGGAATTTCCCTTGATTTTAATCTCACTAGTGACTGAGAACATCAGACTACAGATTCTCAGCATGTCACCCTTTTTACTAATATAATTTTCCATTTTACCTCGCATGACACATTGATGATGCTGGAGGTCTGCAACCTGTGGTGGACATGTTCGCCAAAGTGAACTAATAGCTAGGGGCGGGGAGCTGGTTTCACTCCTTCAGAGATGAGGAACCAGAGGG